GTGATCACAGATCATGAAATACTGCATTCCTACAGCTCAGGATTTATTTCTTATTAGTTTTCATAGTCAAGTCCAGAGATCAGGTGGCCAATCTGAAAATAAATCAATACTGAATTTTTAAAGAATCGTCAAAATTTTGTGGGGCAAGGGGCGTGGCTGGCTTCATTGACAGTCGGCAGCGACCATACAGACGAAGCGAGCAGAAGGCGGTAAATGTGGGCGGGCAGAGATCCGTCTGACCAATCGCTGCTCCTATGGCTCCGCCCCCCTCCGACGATTTTTGCGTCACTGGCTCCAAAAATCCAAGATGTCAACCAGGAAGTAGCAAAACCCTGGCTTCATTTTCTCAGTGCAGAAACCAACGGGTGACGTCACGGTAGCTACGTCCATCTTTTATACAGTCTATGGAACAGACACTGTAGTCTAAAACAACCCCACAGGACAATGTGGAAACGTAGCAGCGTGTTTTTACACTTTATACTACTGCTGTGGGTGTTCTGGTTTTGTTTGTGCCTCATGTGTGCATTTGCTATGAATGGTTGTCAATGACCAGCTGCAGCCGCAAAACTGGATCAACGTTAAAGCATCGATCATAAATTAACATTTCATGCATCCCAAGTAATGGTAGAGAATGCTGCCAGTAAACAACATATTTATTCAACTGGAACAAGTCAGTTTACTAAGCAGTGTTTTTCACCCCTCGGCTATGCTCAGCCTTTTAACATTTTTAAACTCATTGTTTGCTTTTTACAGCCAGCAAAGTAGTAGTAAAGTTTTTCCATGCAGCTGTTTGCAGCAGAAAGAAGCGGAAAAGCCACTTTATGCTACTACAGAAGACACACACTGTTAGTGACAAGCGAGTAAACAGAGTGGAAGTAAAGAAGGAGATATTTCTCCCATAAGTCAGTGGAAACCAAAAGGACACTCGCGATAGGAACTCTATCAGGTGATCTAACGTCAGTGTTGTGTTATTTTGTTTAAAACAACTTTTAATGCTTCTGACAGCCACAAGCACAGCTTCTGTGAAGGATAAAAATAATGTTGGCAGGATGGATACGGAAAGTTTTGGTGGGAAAGAAAACACCAAAAGAAGTGATCTAGTGAGAAAATAATAACAATAATAAATATGTAATGGTAGTAAAGGTAGAATTTTAAAATTTTGGGGAAAAAAATAAAGTAAAAAAATGATGCCTGGGAAATAATAGCCCCAAACAGTTCACATTCATTTATTTATGGAATGTGCTCAGTGTGGATGGTGTTTGTATGTATCTGACTTCCCACTGGACAACTGGAACTGACTAGAATTGAATCAATAAGATTTCTCTTGTATTTAATGGTATTTTAAATGACTCTTTATGAGTGTTATATCGTTTCTAATGTTTTCACTGCAGGGGATGCAAAGATCAGTGATTTGCAGCGTATGAAAATGTACACTTTGAGGGGCATAATGACCTCAGTGTATCACTGAAATTCCAAAATAATGATCTAAAGGAGAAATCACAACGGCATATAATGTTCCCTGACGTGTAATGAGTGTTGCTCCAGTTAATGACGCCAGACAAAACAAAGAAAATGCAGAGAGCGCAAACAAAATGACGTTGAACCTACACCGGAGGAGAAGTCTTCATTGTGGAAAATTATTTTTCTCCTGTGACTGATCCAGAATTTTAATAACTAGATGCAAGACTAAAGGTATAGAGTAGAACAAGAGGGGATGTAGAGGTGGCAAGGCTGCAGGATGTTGTTTTTTTTTTCTTTTTTCTTGGAATCATCCTCCCAATTAAAAGGCTTGAAAAGCAAATAGATCCCATAAATACACAGACGGCTTTTCAGTAGCTTGAGGCCCTGTAGGCGAGACAGATTTATTTATAACACTGCTCTGTCACTGCAAATGAAATAAAAGCTGCATAATTGATGTCAGGAAGATAAAGAGTTTGAGACACATCCAAAAATGGGTCTGATCTTCAGAGAATTGTTCTGTCTGCTTTACGCTGAAGCTTTCATCAGATTCACCACATTCAGACTCAACCTGGAAATCCACGAGTACAAACGATAAAAAGGAAATACAAAAGTTTGGACACATCCCAGTTAAGGATTTTTCTTAACTTTTAACATTTTCTAGATTGTAGGATAAAGAAGAAAAGGTATCAAAACTATAATATGACACATGTGCCATTTTGTAGTGAGAAAATGTAAAATGTTTCATACTTTTACAAGCTTCACTCCTCACACACTGCTCCCAATATGTCAACCGGCATGACGAGAACATAACCTGGAATGGTTTCCAATCATAGACTGTATAAAAGATGGACGTAGCTACCGTGACGTCACCCGTTGGGTTCTGCACTGACACAATGAAGCCAGGGTTTTGCTACTTCCTGGTTGACATCTTGGATTTTTGGAGCCAGTGACAAATCGTCGGAGGGGGGCGGAGCCATAGGAGCAGCGATTGGTCAGATGGATTGAGAGGCGGGCCCTCTCTGCCCGCCCACATTTACCGCCTTCTGCTGGCTTCGTCTGTATGGTCGCTGCCGACTGTCAATCAAGCCAGCCACGCCCCTTGCCCGCAAAATTCTGACGATTTTTTAAAAATTCAGTATTGATTTATTTTCAGATTGGCCACCTGATCTCTGGATTTGACTATGAAAACTAATAGGAAAAAAATCCTGAGCTGGAGGAATGCAGTATTTCGTGATCTGTGATCACTTCTTTTCCCATTCAAGTCTATGGGAGCCAGGGCTTTGTGGAGCCAGGACTAGTGGACGTAGTGATACTGCAGGTTTTTGACACTTCCGGGTTGGCTTCATTTTTCAGGGCTGGTTGCTACGTCCATCTTTTATACAGTCTATGTTTCCAATTAACACAAGAGTCTTGCCAAAGGTTAATTGGTGGGATTTCTTGCCATATTAATGCATTTGAGGCCATCATTTTTGTTAGGGGTAGTATTGGTGTATTTAAATAGCAAATAGCCCTAATTTTAGCAACTGCTGAGCCACTGTCGCTTCACTGAGGACACAAAAACAGCAGTCCATCATTACTTTCACAGCTAAAGGTCAGTCTGTCCAGAAAAATTCCATGAACTTTGAAACTTTCTACAAGTTCTGCTGCCCTGCCTTTTAAACAGGCTCTGTGATGGCTGGTACAGCTGGATTGGAGAGCAGGACCAGGACATGGTTAACACAAGAGAGGGAAAAGAATCCAAAGGCTGTAACACATGAATGTCTCTGGGTAGGAGGAAGGGGAAGCTAGCAAACCCAACAATGCCACCCGGGGAGTTTTATTATATAAAACCTGGTCTACCACCTTGGTCGTACACAGGTACCATATATGTGGTTCAGAACTGCAGACGGTAAAAGTGAATGGATAATTATTTGGATGCTAGATGGCTGAAGGTGCCTGCAGAGAGAGCAGACTAAAAAAAAATGTAAAAGAATAAATCCGATCTATGAGAATGCACAAAAAGATTTATGAGGACAATTAAATTCTGTTTAACAATGCGATTCTTTCGCAGGGGGAAAAGGGGGACAGAAGCCAGCAGTGGCGAGGCAGCTGTTGAGTGTTTCAGGAGACCCACAACTTAACCACCACTCGTGAACTCGTGAAGCAATTTGCGACCACTGCAAACATGCGTATAACACTGTGATGTGCCCCAGTGCTCTTACCGCCACAGCCTGTGAAGGAAACCACACTAGAGTGCCTAACCTCCACCGCCAGTTGGCAACCGGAGGAGGATAGTCACAACTACTGCTCAAACATAAGAATAATTACAAAAACAAATACAGGGACAAAGCCAACGAACTGAAGCAGCAGCTGATAAAACCCTTCACTTAACGGTGTATAGACTGTGCAGACTAGAGGGGGGTCAGCAGCATCCACGTCACCCAAAGGAAGACGAATCTATGTGTTTAGCAGCTATCAGGAAATATTGGATTCAGCTGAACACAACTGGTCCTGTTTCATAAGAAAGACCCTTAAATTAGTCTTGAAGCTTTTGCCTGTAAATGCTTCTGCGTTTCCTACCTAACATGAAACACTTCCATATGTAGTCTGTTAGCATTGCTTCATGGTCTTTTCCATGTTGTGTTCATCAAGAATTAGCAGATTGACATGACCTCTGCCTTTGGCTCCGTCTAGTGGAGCACCTTTGTATTACACCTACTTTCCAGTGCAACAGCCAGAGGGACAAGTGATCAGGTGTTCGGAGTTGCAATTAGCCAGTTGCTCCAGCTGCAGCGAGGCGTGGCTTGCCACTCACTCTACAGACCTTCACACAGTATTTAAGATGCCAGCAAGCCGCAAGTCGACGCCGGATCGTTGTAAACTCACTTTTCGCCACGCTCGCTGCATACTGAGATCCATCATTCATCCCCAACTCCTCACCGTTGGATTCTACTGGCTTTCCATATCCTCCATGTCCCTCTTCTGAAGTCATCTGGTTCATCTCCATCTCCTCCGGCTCCCTCTCCCTAGCATTTAGCATTGTGGTTTAACCAGTCTCTCGCCTACTCAATCAGTAGTGTTAATATTAGGTTTGTATCTTTTGCGGTAAGTTTGATTGTAATTTGTAATTATAGTTCGTCATCCTCTAGAGGATGTTTTGATAAATTCCTTATAGTAAGTATCTGTTAGTTGTCGTTTAGATTGCTGCTTGGTTTGTTTCTGGGTTTCACAATTAGTATTTGGATTTGTGAATAAATTTTCTCATTGACTTTCAACTGTTTGTGGTCGTGTCATTTGTCTGTGCTTGAGCCTTTGTGTTGGAAACCATGACACAGATACCTTTCTAACTATCAGGCTTAAACAACCAGGACCAATGGAGCCACTGTTGGCTACATACAAATGTCTAAATCCAGGTCAGGAGTATTATAATGTTCAGAGGAGTTGGATGGTTTTGCAAGGACTTGACTTGATGCAGATATCATTTCAAAGCATTATACAGAACTGTGTCTAAGCAGGCTGTGTTTTCTATATATTTATGATTTGTTCCTCTTGTTTTGTAGGACATCGGACCAATCGGAGCAGACAGGAACTGGAAGGGCATCGGCATCTCTCTGCTGGTTATCCTGGTGGTTCTCTCCCTTATTGGACTGTCCATTGTTCTGCTGTCAAAAGGTGAGGCTCCCTGCAGATCCTTTCATGAAGATGCAAATAAACTCACATTTAGAATATAAGAAACTACACAGTGATTATGATTGCTGTATCCAAGTACAAGAAGCTGGCAAGAGCTTGTACTGTACTTCAAAGCAAGTCTAATTCTGTAATAAGTGAGTTGAAATGCACTCTTTCTGCACATTTTTTAAAGATCGTCATCACACCATTCCAGGAAAGAACCACTTCATGACTTTTAAGTTCAAACCAACAATAAATTCCTTCCTTATAAAAGAAAGCAGCCACAGCCAACAGATTATTATTTATTACCAATAGATAAATGCTTACCAAAGCCAGACCTGTCACAGTCGGCGGTGCTGTGTCAGCGATGGAGAATGGTCTGGCTCCTTATCTGCCAAAATGAAAAAAACTAGTGATGAGGACGGATTGCTTTGGTGAAACATTTCTATACAGGGTGTGGAGCACTGCCTTTAAAATCAAACAGGCCCTCCTCATTGCACAATGTAGTGGCCGGTTGCTGGCATTTAGATCGCTGCTTGGGCTTTGAAAATGGTAACACAGCTGAAGAAGAGAACGCAAATGCATTCTGGAAATGGCAGGCCAACGGTATACCCACATTCAATGCCCAGTGAGTCACATTAAACCTCTGTTAATTCATTATCACCCCAAGGAGTCCACTCAGCCTCTCTGTCAGACACTTGAAACAGCAGAAAGGACAGCTCCTGGACACCTCATTAAGGAAGACGTTCTGAACTGAATGCAGGATTCACAGATGGAGGAGCTGTTCTAGCAGTTGGCATTGGGAGGTGCTAGCATGTGTCTGATTTGAGTTCCTTCACATGACTGCTGCATTCAGTCATTAAATAATGAGGTGCAACTGTTTGCTTTGTTTTACCAAAGCAGAGGCAATGCTAACCATATCTACCTACGCTATAGTATACTGTTACACACCTGTGCTGTTGTGGAGTGTGTACGTATACTAGCAGTACTCTAGCTTGGCATTTAAAAAAAAAACAATCTAATTAAAGATGAAGGCTTTCTGTGTGGTTTGGTCGAACTACTTAGAGCAGGTCTATCGATTCAGTCACCTCAGTAGCAAAGGCTGATTGTTACAGAAGTCATGGTACACTCTGTCTACATGTGTTAGACCTGTCATGGACCTGTAACCTGCTCAGACAGCTATTCACTCTCACATTTGCTCTTATGGGCAGGTAGAGACCAATTACTTGAGGTGGTTAGTGCTGAAGTGTACCAAACCACATTGACTAGTTATGTGTTGCTAAAAAAAAAAAAAAAGGTTGTTGGAGAGATGGAAACAACTTCTCTGTGATGACTTATTTAAGGTTTAATTTTGCCTTTGCCAAAGCGGGCCGTACCACATTTTCTTTTAGAGACAAACTGATTTAAGGTTTGTCTTGTGAAACAGCATTAAAGAGTTTACTGAATAAGGAACTAGAGAGACTTCTGAGGATCGTGGGGTAGAAGCAGATGCTTGGTGGTCCTTAATTAAGTTTTTATTTTACCTTACCATACCAATGAGTTGAGTTTTCCTGGGGCTTGAGGTCAAACTGTCCGCCATCTTGAATTGTAAACATGTGCAACTACCTGCACCCACGAGTCAGCGATTCCTGTGGCTCGGCCCAGTTTGCCCATTTTCATGCCGAAACCATTATGGGCCAAACTTCAAAGTAGCATTGTGACATTACTAGTGGGCTGTTGGTTGGACCACTTTGCCACAAACTAGTCGACCATAAACACTTATCAAAACAAACATAAAATTCAACTTTGGATTTTTTGTGGTTTGGCCCACTTTGGCACTGAACCCCTCACTTGACCTGCATGTCTTTGGAACATGGGAGGAAACCAAAGCAGAAACCCAGGCAGACATCGTGAGAACGTTCAGGCTCCTCACGCAGATAGTTTTCCTTATTTAAGAGAGGAAGGGATCCTGGTTAGGGATGCTAACTTGAGCAATAACACCACGATCACAGACGCTGTCAGAGAGCAATTGTCTGATTGACTAAATGTTAAGTAAGTGAATAATCACAAAACTCTGTGATTTAGTTGATATAGTACAAAAATATGGTCTTGATTATACACTGTAAAGAGAGTTTGTGATGATTATTTACGTCCTCATAAGATCTGCGTGTTCATTTATGCACACATATAACATAGAATTTCAGTGTGATATAAAGTTATCTAGTCAAATATTTCAATTCCACCTAAAATCTTGGCACACAATGTCAAATAGAACAAGATAAAGACACATGAGATGGACAACGTTTGTCAGGAGACTAAAATAAATGAGTCTTTTTTTGTAAAAAGCGAGTGAAAATAGAATTTAAGCATCACTCTCGTCTATCTTCTTCTTTTCATGTTCTGCAAACTTTCCAGTTTGCTCTGCCCTCATTTGCATTTTTATTCAGCATTGAGCGCACACGGCACGTAAGACGCCGTCGAAGGCAAAACAAGCCAGGTTTTAATTGTTTACTGAGGAAATATGAAGAAGGGGGTAATAAAAAAAAAAATAGAGAAGGGACTGCGTGAGAGAACATCTGGAAGGGATTTACTGCCTCAATTGTCATTCAACAGAACTCCTAGTTTTCCAATCATCTCTGAAAAATGCAGTCGGTGCAGGTGCAGCGAAAGTTCTCCTCCTTTAATTATCTTACATCATATTGTTCTTTGTCTGGTGCATGTGGAGTGTTGTTCAGAGAATGTCATTATAATGTGCTTTTCAAAGTGAGTTTCCTTAAAACAAAAGCTGCTTTTTTATCAGACTACCAAAACAACAAAGAAGTGATCGGTTGCTGTTGACGTATTAAATGTGTTTTCTTTCTTTCTTTCTTTCTGTAGATGACCTTGGCAAGTCCTTTGGATCACAGTTGACACTGGATGACCTCTTTCAAAGAAGCTTCCAAATACACGATCCTGATGCAAAGTGGATCAATGGTAAGTATGTAGAAGGACCAAAATTCAGCCCAGAAACCAAATAAACGATAAAAATAACTGAAATTATAAATGTGTTGATCTCACTTTGTAGCATTTAGTCCTTGTACTTGTGGCTTTCACATATATCCAACTAGACTTTACATTGTACATTCTCGGCATCTTACTGTACTTTCATTCGGGCTTTCTCGATAGCAGTCCTTTTATTTCAAACTGGTTTGTGCCATTTCAAAACTATCACGATTGTCTGCATTGCAATAGATTAGATCAGTGGTTCTCAAACTTTCTGAGCCACGACCCCCAAGATAACTGTGTTCGTGACCCCCCAATTGGAATTTTTAATATGGCATGAGTAATAACTTTGCTGTTCATGCATTAATGTGTTGAAAATGAATGTGTTAATTCCACAGATTAATCTCTTTACATGAACATGTTAATGTTCTTTTGAATGAAGGAATGAATTGAATTTATTTCGAACAAATGAAAGTAAAAAATATATAAAAACAGAATAAAATCATTTTTAAAAGAGCAAAAAAAGAATAAAATCACATCATCAAATCGTAATATTAACAAGTCCAAAAAAAGAGTGGGAAGAAGCATACACTTTTAATTTTGACAGCCCTAATACAAATGTATTTGATAAATGTAGGCTTTATTTATTCTTTTTTTTTTTTTTTTTCCTGGCGCCCCCCTGAGTTTATCTTGGGCCCCCCGGGGGGGTCCCAACCCCCAGTTTGAGAACCACTGGGTTAGATTGTTTAATATTATTCCTGTTTAATTTGCTGTTTATTACTGTCTAACATTCATCCTGTTTTTATTCTTTATTAGAGGAAATGTCATCACTTTTTAAGCTTGCACGCTTCCTAATACAGCAGATCTAGATTCAGCTCAGATTATGTCCCATATCAGCATTTCAAAATATATTTTCTTCTGTAATATCTGTGCATCACGGCTGCAGGATGGATACGGTTTGGGAAAGATCTGGCAAATAAACTATGCTTATGATTGACATGGCTAATGCTGCAACATACAAAGCTGTTAAAGGCGTATAGTTTTGTGTTTTCTAAGTGAGAAAGGCTTCTAACTGTCGACTGCAATGAACTCTGACAAAACTCTCCATGCTTTCAAAGAGTTATAAAGCTGAAGTGTTTTAGGTTCATTCTGTTTTTCTGTCCTCGTTCTGGTTCGCAACCATGAGAGTTTTCTGCTTGTAAGTCTGGTGTTTGTCACAGCAGAACAAAGCCTGGATAAGACATAGCGTCACTCTCTGGTGGTGCTAAAAAATGAGGAGACAGACACAAATCTATGGGGCTCTCGCAACAAACCTGAAAAAGCTCAGACGATCTATACCAACTGGAGTCTTCGTGCTGCAAAGGGTTATTGTTTTACAGTTGCTTTAGAATTAATGGATAAGGGGCAGACGGGAAGAACAAGAGTAACTGTAACCTGCCATATAGATTAATCCTAACCCCAGTCATGCTGCTTCTCAGACAGTAAAGAGAAAGTCCACATAATGTCCAGTGTTTTCAATATATTGGATTTATTTTCAGGCCTCATTATGAGATTTTTTTTTTTCCCTGCCGGCTACTAAAAAGTACTTCTTTCTTTTTCTATTTATGTCATCTGTTTGCTTGGATGTTTAGCGAAAACATTCATTCATTCTGGCAGAGTGATGAATAGTTGAGCAATCACAGAGATTGGACACATTAAAGGTTACTCATGAGAGCGATGAAAGTCCAAACACACTCGTCTGTTGCATTAATGTTCTCAACATCAAAAGCTTTCAAAGTCAAGAGATGTAATTTTCAGAAAAGAGAAGGAAATGTTGATCAGACAAACCAAAACACAGCCGGAGGATTAAATGTATTTAAAGACTTAGTGGGTTCATGATGGTCAAATGTTGAGCCATGTAGGTTCACATTTATCATATATTTGTTAATTCAACCCATTTTTCTATCTTAGGTTTTACATGTATATGCATGGGAGACTGTCTTTTGCAGTAAATAGCAGTAATGTTTGCACCTGTAATAGCTAACATCTAAAGAAAACTTTCAGAAGTTCAGAAACAAAATGCGTCTCACTTTTCCTATCACCACATACAGTATGTATATATGTACCACAGCTCCTCCAGTATGTTATGGAGCAGCTGACTCCACTATATAGTGCTTTGGTAGAGCTGCAGAGAAACAATGTCAGGATTGCCTCTTGGAGTCTATTTCCGAATTACACCTCCTTCTAACCTATTTGGTCACATGGTGTGTTACTATTTAAATACAAAAAAGGAAAATTCTATATTATAAGAATATTATTTACTGTAAAAACCTTCAACAAAAAAAAGGAAACAGCAGAAAGCGATAGAAAGATTATGATAGATGAGCATTTACTTGAGACCACTGTACTTTGAACTCTTTGATGAAATCTGGTGCAATAATTTCTGTCAAGATCAACAAGGAATTTCACGCATTCTGGACAATTAAAGACTTTAAAGTGAGTCTGTACATAACTAAAAACCTGTCCAGACTCACAACATTTAAACTGAGCTGATCTCAACTTCAAAATGGTGGTTTGGAAAATCAAACTGGATATCTATATCTGTATCTATATCTATATATATATAAAATGTAGTTATTCTCTCTTCAAAAGGAAGAACACAGTATACGTTTGCATTAGACAAACAAAAAGGCTTTCTGACTAATTAAAAAGAAAAACAATGAAGTTCTCAAGTGTAGCTCTAACATCAGTTTGACAACAAGGTCGCAGCGACAGCATGAACCAGTTGGTGTCATGGTTACCGTGTGCAGTTTAGCAACTCGCTAACATTTCCTAATTAGTCATTAGTTTTGCAAGAAATGTGGTCATAGACCAAAGTCTGACACAAATGTAATCCTTGATGTGGCGCTGGATGGAAAGTGAAGCTGTAGCTGAAGTCGGTACAGAAATGCCCATAACATATTGTCAAAGATCACAAATGTGAACTTAGATTATCAAACTCATCTGAGTACATTACAGCTGATGCAAAATGTACAGCCCATCCTTCCTGATGGTGAGATATTCCATTAGATAAGTCAAAGTTTAGCACATAATTGAAGTAGTGAATGAATGTGGCTCATAGATACAAGTCTGAATGACCTAATGAGTAAAACCTGTGGCAGTAAAAGGTCAAAAGAGTATTTTTCCATCTCTGTCTGATGACATTTAGGCACAAAAACAACCTGACAGGTTTAGTTCTCATCCATCCTCCCCAGCTTCCTCCCTATGTAGAATATAAGGCTCTTTAAATACATCAGCTCTCTTCCTTTATTGCTCTCATCATAATGTTTACGGCCTATAGAGGTAACTTATATTAACTATAGGTCACAACAAGGTGCTCATTATAGCAACCTTCTGGGGGTTTTATGGGAGGAAAGTCCTGCTAGCACCTTGCATGGCAGATTGAATGATGTTAAAAAAGAAATACACTATATAAGTTAATAACCATCTACTACTTCATCTTCTGGGACTCCAGCCTTCCAAATCTACCTGCTCCTCTCAAATACCAGCATCAGGAAGGCAACAGAATATAAGTCCTTGACTTCTCTTAGAAAATTCTCCTATAAAGTTTTGCTTTTATCAAATAATACATTTCATTCACTTCAAAGTTGTTCCTTAAAAAAAAGAAGAAAAAGGAAGTCGTACCAAAAACTAAATGGAAACTCGCAACACAAGAGAGAACACAGGAGCTACTTTGTTGAAGCGTTGCCTTGGTTCTGTCGTCTTTGTAACTGGGAAATGGATGGAGATTCTCTTCTTGCATCTGCCAACATCACGGCTGAGTGTGTTTAGCAGGTTATGCAATTTGTTTGAAACTTGGGGGCAGCAGACAAGACAGTAAAACAGAACATCTGATCAGTTTAGTATAGAGCTGCGGTTAACACGTCCACATAGGGTTTCATTTCATCTGATGAATGCCTTCATTTATCCTCTTCATCCTTGGTTTGGTCTCCACCAACCCGTAAAAAACCATATCTGACCGTTCAGCTGCTACATGCACTGATGAAAAATCTGTTTCTTGCAACAATGTGGATGAGAGTTTGCCAACAGGAAAACCAAAACATGACTCTAAAGAAGCCAAAACGATGCATTAGCTGAACAGTAGACACCTATCGGAGTCATTGCTGATGATTCCACAAACGTTTTGGACTCTGGCATCATATTTCCTCAGATTTCTAAATCTTTGTAATCGCACATACAGAGCGTCTTCGAACACATTTGACGGTAACGGATGAGGCAGCAACAGATGTGTACGATAATCAGGCCAGCTGACAGCCTTCCCTGGGCCCAGGACAAGATGATACTA